GGAATCAGCGAAGAGGGAGACTCACTCAAATAGCGCTTATCGCCAATGCCATAGACCACGGGCAAACGGACGACCGTGTAGCTGAGATCGTCGATGTTGGCCAGCTCCTTCTCCACTTTCAGTTTTTGCCTGGCCACGCCCGTCCATGGATCCAGCTTGCAGTCCTCCTTCAGCGGCGTCTTCTCGCTGCTGTTCATGCATCCGGAGCTGAGTTCCACGTAGCGCTTGACCCGCTGGTTCGCCGCCTCGTTGGCGCAGTTCAGGCTGAGCTTCAGGATGCCCTCCTTGTAGACCGCATCGTCTTGGTTGGCACGCGTCTCGGCCGCACAGTTGAACACGATGTCCCAGGCCCTTCCGGTCGTGGGGTGTGGCGCAAAGGCCGCCTTGCAAGAGGCTGGAAAAACAAAGGGGAGCGTTCCAGAACCTGTTTTGGTGCAACAGCATTAGGGTGACTCGTTTTGGAAGGAGAGAGATAGGTGATTGTTTCGGAATTCTTGGGGACTACAGTCTATAGCTACCTAAAATTGGTTGTTTTTGTCTTTATTTTAAAAAAGGAAAAATTTTTGAATATATATTGTAAGGTCTTAAGTCCATCTTTACCTATATCATTGATCTATAAGACCTTCAAAGGGGTCCTTATATGTAATATTGAAATATATCCAGTTCTAACTTCTTCAGATGATTCATTTAACCTTGAACAATGTCTAGAGGGTTTTATCTTTTAAGGTTCTGTTAATTCACCACATTAATCACATCCTCACTGAGCGAGCCACCCTAATGTTAGGGCTACCTACCGGCGTTTATTAGGTTGGCGCTGCAGAACTCCACACGATCGCTCTCGAAGACCCGCGCCTGCTCCTCGTTCAGCCAGGCCATCTGGGGAGGGGTCTTATCGGCCAGCCGTATTTCCTGCGCCAGTTCATTGTCCAGCAGATAAGTGGCCAAGTTGCGTCCGATGAAGCCGCAGCCTGCGAGGCACAGAGATAAATGCACAGAAGCGATGCAGTCGGTGATAAGCGGAAGTGGGGGCCAAGTGGATCCGGGCACTGCGGGGCTACTCACCACCCAAAATCAGAACAGTCGGCTTCTCAGACATGCTGCAGGCGCGACACGATCAACCGAAATGGAAATGGGAATGGGAATGAGTCAAGTCGAGATGAAATATTTGTTAGCGGTCGAAACGGTATTTTTTGTTGTTTGTCTGTCTTGGCAGTGTGACCTTCGCGCACCGCTGCCAAAATACTAAAATGACGCTCAGTTTCAGGCATTATAGCCCATTCCCACCATAGATGTATTTACTGAATGGTCAATAGGGCTTAACGTTTCAAAAATGTCGAATATTTAGCCAATGTTTTCTAATCCGAAGTCGCGAAAAGAAACGTTCCCCATAACGTGTTTTTAGGTTTCGGGCAATAGGTAACACATTTTTTGTAACGGTAATTTTTTAAATCATTCAAATTTGAATCACTTGGTACCTCATGCATTACCTTGCAATTTAGGAGCAGATGATAAAAAACTCAAATTTGACAAATTTAAAGCTTCCAGTGTCTCTGAATTAAAATGTTTCTAATCAATTTCGGGAAGAGTTGAAATAAAACCAAAGTTGTTATTAAAAGAAGTGCAAGCGCATTCAATTTTTACGCGGTATCTTCTCGCGACAGCCGAACACCCCTAACGTCGTTTTAGCTCGTGATCTGCCAACGGTCACACTGGTTACTTGCATTTTAGCAAAAAACGAAGCTGCAAGAAAAAAAATTGGCAATAAAGTGCAGGAGCAGCCGTAGCAATGGACCAGGCCGAAGTGGGCAGTGCGTGCCTTGCAGCGCCAAAGCGCCGCTTTCCGTCCACCGAGCGTTGTGGTCGAGAGCCGGCCGCCGCGCCCCCGCAGCCTCTGACATCCCAAATCCCGGCCGAGGAGGAGCCGCAGGTGAAGCAGCGCAAGAGGGGGGAAGAGGAGGAGGAGCCACTGGAGCTCGTCCAGGACTCGGGGCGCAACCTGCTCGACTTCTGCGATGAGGTGCTCATCGAGATCTTCCAGTACCTGGACACCTTCTCCATCATGGCGATGATGCAGTGAGTCCACCGTTATCAGCTGAGTACCGAAAATCTCTAGGCAGCATGGGAAATCCCCGGATATGACAAAAACTTTTTTGGAAGTGACGTATTTTGTTGTAGATAACTTTGTTTTGGTCTGATATATCAGGTTTATTCATGTCTATGGACAGTACTGATTGACAGAAATGTTTCTTTAAGTTATCATCAGGTTTATTCATGTCTATGGACAGTACTGATTGACCAGAAATGTTTCTTTAAGTTATGTATTTTTTCATTGTTAATCAGTTAATAACAGACTTTGATGAGTAAAAACCCAATAGCTGAGTGATAGAGATTTCGGTGACCTATAGATAATTTTTATTTCGCGTACTTACCTGCAACCTTTTCCAGTTGCTCGCCTCGTTTGGAGAACCTTCTTTTGGACCATCGCTTCTATCACTGCATAGATCTCAGCAACGGTCCGCTGCCCATGGGGATTCTCGAAGAGATCCTCGGTCGGGCCACCGAAAAGACGCACACTATTAAAATCTGCGGACCGCCATCCTCTCAGCACGTATCCGGCGAGGGCCGCCAATTCACCCAGACCCTGAGCTCCGTCTTTCCCAAGGTGTCCACCCAACTAAAGGTCCTCGAGCTGCAGGGCGTCAGCCTAGACTTCGAATACGTGAGTGCGCTTCCAGAATATCAAGAATATGATTTAATGTTTTCTTTTCCTTCAGATACATATTTCTGAGTTTCCCTCGTCGCTGAAGCGCCTCAAGCTTATTGATTGCAGCGTCAAGGTGGGCAACATGGCCAAGAGCATATTCCACTCCATTGAGGTGCATCTGGTGGATCTAGAGGTGCGTTAGACAAATTAAGCGGCTGTCATGTTATTCAACAAATTATTTAATACTTAGGATCTCAGCATTGAGGACAATACCTGGTTTGAGCCCTATTACATTATGGGACTTTCGAAGCTGCCTTCCCTGCGTCGTCTTAGTCTCAAGGGCTGCCAGATGCTCTGCAAGTTTGTGCCCTACGGCAGCATGGCGGCCCGCTTTGGTTTTCAAAAACTAGAGGTTGGCATTGGTTTGTTGATTAGCTCTTTTTGTAATACGTAGTCTTTTTCAGTCGTTAGATCTACGCCTGACCCCCATTAACAACCCAGATCTGCAGTGCTTCAGCGCCATTGAGAACCTCAAGGAACTGCTCCTGGAGTCGCCGCCAAACCCCCCCGCCGAACAAAACTCTGCAGAGAAAACTAACAACGGCAATGCTGCTGACGAGGGTATCCCCCCGAAACTGGATCCGGTGAAAGTTCTCAACGACGACGAGCCGTCTACATCACGTGCCGCCATGGAGCACCTGCGAGCATGCATGCAGGGCAAAGGGCAGGAGGGCAACGATATGTTCAACTCGGACAACTGCAACGAGAGAAAGGAGGATGAACAGTCTCCGGTGCAAGCAGAGTCAACTTCGAATAGCCAAGAGCTCCAGGGCAAAAGAATCAGAGCCCCATCGGAATCCGAGGATGAGGACACCTCGTCCACATCGGGCACCTCGGCTTCCTCGTCGGACAAATCTGAGGTTGCATCGCCGCCCAGAAATGGCCACAATGGCGGTCCATCTGTACGCTCACCTGTGTTGGTGATTGCGTTGCCAAGCGTGGTTGCCGATCTGCCACCACGTCCACCAGCAGTGGATGCGGAGAATCCCGAGGCTCCCGGGCAGGATCCCCGACCTGAACCCAGACCCACGCCTCGCGCTTACATATATGTGCCCGAAGCTAACGAGAACCGTGAGCGCCAACACCGTAATATGATGGCCATAATTGAGCAGTCGGCGGAACAATTCCGTCACCTGCGCGGGAATAATCCCGCCTTTAGTCGTTTCCTACCGCGACACGATCAGGTTATCTACATGAACCCCACAATGAATGTCCTGTGTGCCACACGTCGCCATCGTTCCCATCCGCGCCCAAACTACGATCAGGTTGTGCAGCATCCAATGTTTTGGAATATGCTGGACCCACTGGACCGTGATCACAATCGACGTATGCGCCACCGTCCGACGATTACGTCGCCGTCATCACCTCAATATTATGTTACTGATCGGGCCATGTACAGCTTTGGTCGAGCGCCACGTCCAGTGCAACCGGATGTTGTCTGGATTCGCAACGTCAACCGCTCGCCGGACAACAGACTGGAGCGTCTGTCGTTGCGGAACTACCATCTCATCACAAATAACACTCTGGAGCATCTGGTGCAGTGTTCCCCCAATCTGGTCTATATCGATGTGACTGGCACCAGCATAACGCTTTCGGGATTGCAGCGCTTCAAGAGCAGCAAGCCGGAGTGCGAAGTGGTGGCCAACCATTTGGATGCGTTAGGGGAGGTTTCCTTGGAGCCGGGTCAGCAGGAAGAAGAGGAGGATGATGTGTTGGTGGTAGTGCCCAGCGTAGAGAATCCGCAGCACGACCAGCAGCCACCACCACCTCCACCACCCGCATCTCAGGAACTGGCTGCCCCATAGAAGATTCTCTCCATTTAACTATATTGTTTGTATCATGTTGTACTGTATACATTTTTTTTGTCGAAAAAGGCCGTGCTGGATTATAATTTTAGCAAGAGACGACGACATGGCCAAGCCGATGAACCCACAACGCTGGCTACAAGCGAGTGCTGTAGCTCAGCCCACTAGTATTACGTTCCAATCTGATCCAGCCCTTGTACTATACGCCAGGCTCAATGCATTGTATAAAACCAAGAATCCCAAAACCACAAACAAAAAATTCCTTCAGTTAGGCATTAATGAACGCGCGATCAATTTGGTATATTATATGTATAATGAAATGCTTATTTGGTAGCTCTGTAGCATGTAAGGACAGACCAACAACTTGTTTGGGTGTTCGGTGTAACAAAGCTAAAAATGTATATAAATTCTAAAAAAACGAAAGTGTAAAATTGAGAACCGGAAACGAGTTTACTTGTCGGCGTCATTAGAGGACTCTTCTTCGGCATCAGACTCGTCCTCGGTATCGTCAGTCTCAGTCTCCGACTCGCTGGAGCTCTGGCAATCGGCTATCTCGCCGGTGAAGAAGATCACCGCCTTGGGGATCACACGCTCCTTCAGGTAAAATCCGAGTTCAAAGTCATTTTGAAGTATGGCCTATGGAATATAGATGTAAGTTGTATCTAGTCAATAGAATGCTCTGATCTCACATTGACATCGCAGTAGTTGGGATCCTCGGTATCGTCCGGTAGTTGTGGCGGCGAGAAAAAGTCAAAGAACGATGGCTGGTCGCCTGGGCCCTCTGGTAAAGGAGTTGGTTTATATGAATGGTCAGCATCGTAGTCGGTTCGTATCGCCCTTACCCTTCTCCTTGGTCTGTTTGGACACCTTCCAATTGATCTCGCAACCCTCGCACTTGAAGATCTCGGCGCCGTCGTAAGCCAGTGGATCATCGGGATCCGGCAGGCAGTTAAGGAAGTAAGTCTTGGTCAGCACGGTGTTGGTGAAGTAGTCGTTGGGGTCAAAATGGAACTCTATGTCGAACTTCACCACCGGATCGTTATGGAGACGAGAGCGAATGTCGCACAAGCACTGCGGTGGAAAATGTAAGTCTTGAGTAGGTATTACGATATATGGAGGGTAAAGAGCTCCAGAAGTTAAGTATTAAATGTATGAAATTATAGTAAGAACCTTTAAGAATAAAGTATTATATTATAAAATAAGATCCAAAGAGGGTATATTAAATTGGCATGATGTGTGAAATGATTAAATTTACACTGGAACTTAGTTCCTGTTTAGTAATGTATATAAATCCTATTAGGACCAAGAACTCACCTCTAAAATTTTCTCATCCTTCTTGCTAATGAACTCTGTGTACGAGTACTTAAGCACCTTTAACCAAAAATTAGGAACGCTTTGATTAGACTCCGAATCACCGCAGTTTTGTTTCCGAAATTCACTGTGAAAAGTACAAGTCATTTGGGGTCTCCTTGTAGTAGCCATATGTGACTTACTCTAGAATCTTCTTGCGCTTCTCGAAAATGACATTATGCTTGTCCTCGTACTTCTTCTCCATGTTGTAAATGTCGCGCTGGAGGGCAACATCCAGATTTATGGTCTCCAAATAGAGCTGCTTCAGCTCGGTAATCGTCTTCTTCTCAGCCTCAGTGAACCTGGTATCCTAATTGCACACATTATGTAATATCTACTGATAAATCCTGAAAAACTAGCACTTACATTTGTTTCCTTTGGTGGAGCAGTGTATTTAACACGCGCAGCAGTTCTGTTTCGCATGGTTTCCATTTCAGGATCGATGGTATGTCGTATCTTAGCTGGTACTCCGCTAAGAAAACCAAGAAAAAATTAAGAAAATTTCGCTTTTTACAACGTAGTTTAACGAGCTGAAATTTTGTTGAATTCGTTCCGACTGTCTGGGTGAGAATGAAAAAAGTACTGCGAGTTTCCCGAAACTTCCAGCACAAAAGTCAACGCCTACTTGTCAAAAAAAGTATTGATAAACATTTTTTACTAAAAAAGCAGTTACTTATATTTTAGCCAACACTTTAAGCTTGGAAATAAATATTCATAAATTCAAATTCCCAACATAATCAAATTATAGAAAAGGCCCTATTATGAGTTGAAAATGGAAAAACAACTTTAATAACATTCTCTGATCTCAAGACTCTTTCATTATTATGTATTATGCTTCTCAAAAAATATTTGTATTTTCACCCCGACCTTTTTTCGAGTGAAAACATCTTAGGACATATTGTTTTCTGCTTTAAGAACCCTTTCGCATTATATGGCCATTGAGATGCAGGCCATGTTTATTGGCAATTTAACGCACATTTAATTCCAGCTTTTTTCCTGTTTATATTTTTGGTTTCCTTAATTTTTTTTGTTTGCCTCCACCAACTTTTCATTTGGCATGTAATTAAGTGTGGGCCAGATGTTTGGGGTGGATGGGTGCTAACCTAAGTGTATGCAAATCACGTGCTGAGTGCTGCCAAGGGTTCAGGTTCAGGCATCGCCTCCTGGAGTCTGTTAAATGGACCGAGGACTCGGTTCTCGGTTCTCGGCTTTCGGTTTTTAGAGAGTACTGCCCGTTTTCGGTTGTCTTTGGTCGCTGGTTTTAATAATGTGGGCCAGGCTTAGTGCCATATGTCAGGCTGTGAAAAACAACAGGGACGTAACAAAAAAAAAAGAGTGAAATTGTCGCTTAGGCAAACATTTCAAAATGAAATTATGAGTTGGACAGCAAGGGGCGAGAGTGAAAAAAGTGTAAACAAATTTAGCCAAGCGGAAGTCCAGACACACACACTCCACACACACAAACACACACCCGCAAAGGGAAAGCCGCAGAGGAAAAGTGGGGAAAGCGAGATCGCATTGTTGTGCGCTGTTGAATGTTTGCCCACAAATACAAATGGCACATGTACGCATGCACTTGTCCAGTTTCCACAGGACATCCACAGGACCTCCCCCCCATTTTGCTATCCTCACATTTGATATTATTAAATTTTTTCCCTAAATACCGCTGGGAAATTAAAAAGAAATCATAAGGCAAATAGTGTAAGGCAGCCAGCCATCTGATGATGACGGTTTTGGCTGGCCAATTCCGAGATTTATACTAGTGTATGTTTACACAGAGAGAAAATAGGGAATATAAGTAAAGTAAATAAATAAATTCTTACAAAATGTCAGCTTCTTTCAAGAATTGATTAGTTATTTACTAACTTATATATTAATCTGTATTAAAATCTAAGATATTTAAAGGTTTTATAAATGTGAAGTTATATACATTTTAATGTTATAAACTCATTGGTTGTTATGTTAGACCCTTTAAAAAACTTTAACCCTACAAAATAAATCATAGTTATTGACCCAGTATTTTTTTTTCAACCGTAGAACCCCATAAACTTAAAATATTATTTTATAAGAAAATTAGTCTTATAAATGGTTATACTGAATCAACCCATTTGATAAGTTTTTAGGAAGGTGTACATACTTAAAGACAGTGATAAAAATCAATTCAAAAATCAATAATGATAAATTTTAATAAATCGATTATATGCGAATACTTAGGCATCTTACGATAACATCGATTATAACTTAACATTATCAACACTAGTCCATTGTTTATTGAAAGGTCTTAAAGATTTTATTACAAATTCTTAAAGTACCTTGCCATTTAAGCTGTTCAGGCATTTTCAATTTACATTTCGGTCATTCAATTAGGAGGTGCATAAAATTTAGCTACATAAGTAATGGAGCAGCCTCATCATCATCGTTCTCCTCATCATGATGAGGAGTTCAGGCAGCCGAGGAGTACTGGGAGTACGGGAATCATGGCCATCGCACCCACGTGATTGCCGTTCGTCGGAGGTCGTCAGTGCCGGCAGCGTCAACATAGTTTGAATTTAATTAAAACCAAAATTAGTAAAGCCCAGTGCAGAACGGTTCATTTTGGGTTCGGAGCAGCCCCATCCGGAGCAACAGTTACTTGGCGCAGGGATTAGAGCTCCTGGTGTTCCCACTGCAGCTCCAGCTCCTTGCTGGGAAAAGTGCATGTCTGCAGAAAATCGAATCAGCAGCTCAACGTCCTCATCCCGGCAACCAGAACTCCACCTACACCACCACCATTTCCATCCACCTGCTCCACCTGAAGCTCCGACTCCCCGACTCCGAGAGACCGGCGCCATGCCGAAATATCTGCAACAAAAGCATAAGATGTAGTGCGGCATTTGATGATGAAACGACGTGTTAATTAAGGTCATAATAATTCAACTTAAATTGAAAACTTGCCCGGCCAGGCAACGCAGCAGCCCCATTTTTGGATGATAGGGGTTGCGGAGGGGCTGAAAGGACGCAGGACTCAGGACGAAGGGCATCGCATCCTCGGAATCCTTGCCAGGCTAAGCTGATTGCAACAAATTATTTTGCACCTTGGTTGAACTTTCCTTGAGCTGCAGACAGCATGGCGTTGATAAACGAATTTTGTTAGTTTGCTTTGCTTATTTTAAATAGAACTAGGTGGTGGTGCAGGTTGGCTCAGGGTGGTGCAGGATGCGGGATGTGGGCCAGTGGTGCAGAATGGCCTGGCTGGCTGGCATTCAAGGGACAAGGGCCAATGTTGCCTTTGGTTTTGCATAAACCAGACAACGCATCTAATAAGTTGCAGCTGACGGTTGCCAGCCACCCTCTATATCTGCCTTTCAGTTGGCCAAAGAAGTTTTAAGTTTTTACTGGTCTCCGCTCCGCCTAATGCCTCAAAGTGCAGAGCTGTGTTTGCCATTAAATGTTATTAGTTAAATGATAATTAACAGTTGGAAAACGTGCGAAATATCTCCAACTAATTTGCATAGCCAACTAATTGGCTTAGAGGGTCATTGCTTTTGCTATTTTTCGGCGCAATACCTTTGGTCCTGCACGGTGAGAAAGGTCTTCAAATAGGATTGACAGGTTATTAATTGAATTATTCCAACTGGGCTAAATATTTGACCCACGTTAAAGTTTAATGTGTAAAATTTGAGAGTTCATCCAAAATTTTATAGAGGTCTTAATCGCGTCTTAATCGGTATTACCAAAGTTATGGAATCTATAAGTCGAATTTTTGGGTTCCCATTCTGAAAGCCATTGGAAATATGGAAAGATCGAACATGAAAATGGGCTAAAATTGTGACCATCGAATAATCAATATATTTTGATGTAGATTATTATAAAATTCAACCACAAATTCATAGAGGTATCCCACGTCTAAATCGGGTTTAAATTACTCAAGTTATGGAATCTAGAAGTGCACTTTTGGGTTCCCATACTGAAAACCATTGGAATTACGGAAAAATCGAACATGAAAATGGGTTAAATTTTTGACCATCGAATAATCAATATCTTTTGATGTAGATTATTAGAAAATTCAACCACAAGTTCAAAAAGGTATCCCACGTCTAAATCGGGTTTAAATTACCCAAGTTATGGAATCTAGAAGTCCAATTTTGGGTCCCCATTCTGAAAACCATTGGAATTACGGAAAAATCGAACATGAAAATAAGCTAAAATTGTGACCATCGAATAACCAATATATTTTGATGTAGCTTAATAGAAAATTCAACCACAAATTCAAAAAGGTATCCCACGTCTAAATCGGATTAAAATTACCCAAGTTATGGAATCTAGAAGTGCAATTTTGGGTTCCCATTCTGAAAACCATTGGAATTACGGAAAAATCGAACATGAAAATGGGCTAAAATTGGGACCATCGAATAATCAATATATTTTGATGTAGCCTAATAGAAAATTCAACCACAAATTCAAAAAGGTATCCCACGTCTAAATCGGGTTAAAATTACCCAAGTTATGGAATCTAGAAGTCCAATTTTGGGTTCCCATTCTGAAAGCCATTGGAATTACGGAAAAATCGAACATGAAAATGGGTTAAAATTGTGACCATCGAATAATCAATATATTTTGATGTAGATTATTAGAAAATTCAACCACAAATTCAAAAAGGTATCCCACGTCTAAATCGGGTTTAAATTACCCAAGTTATGGAATCTAGAAGTGCAATTTTGGGTTCCCATCCTGAAAGCCATTGGAATTACGGAAAAATCAAACATGAAAATGGGGTAAAATTGTGACCATCAAATAATCAATATCTTTTGATGTATATTATTAGAAAATTCAACCACAAATTCAAAAAGGTATCCCACGTCTAAATCGGGTTTAAATTACCCAAGTTATGGAATCTAGAAGTCCAATTTTGGGTTCCCATTCTGAAAAACATTGGATTTACGGAAAAAGCGAACATGAAAATGGGCTAAAATTGTGACCATCGAGTAATCAATATATTTTGATGTAGCTTAATAGAAAATTCAACCACAAATTCAAAAAGGTATCCCACGTCTAAATCGGGTTTAAATTACCCAAGTTATGGAATCTAGAAGTGCAATTTTGGGCTCCCATCCTGAAAGCCATTGGAATTACGGAAAAATCGAACATGAAAATGGGCTGAAATTGTGACCATCGAATAATCAATATATTTTGATGCAGATTATTATAAAATTCAACCACAAATTGATAGAGGTATCCCACGTCTAAATCGGGATTAAATTACCCAAGTTATGGAATCTAGAAGTGCAATTTTGGGTTCCCATTCTGAAAGCCATTGGAATTACGGAAAAATCGAACATGAAAATGGGTTAAAATTGTGACCATCGAATAATCAATATATTTTGATGTAGATTATTAGAAAATTCAACCACAAATTCAAAAAGGTATCCCACGTCTAAATCGGGTTTAAATTACCCAAGTTATGGAATCTAGAAGTGCAATTTTGGGTTCCCATCCTGAAAGCCATTGGAATTACGGAAAAATCAAACATGAAAATGGGGTAAAATTGTGACCATCAAATAATCAATATCTTTTGATGTATATTATTAGAAAATTCA